CCTTAACGTCTTCGAGTTACCTTTCACCAGAGAGCACCAAGAATAGCTTGAGTCTCCGCTGGTTTCTGTTCTGGGTCGGCTACTCTTGTAGCTTCCGCAGTAGTATAGACAGTAGGCTTGTTGCTTACTATGTTCGCATTTGTTGTGACTTCCTCAGCCACCTTTTCTTGTGGTGTTCGTTCGGGATCAGCCGGTTGAACAGCGATCACCGGAGCAACAGATTCCGGTTGGACAATTTCAGATGGCTGAGCCATGACCAACGCATCCGAAGAGATGGCCGCATCTATCGTCTGAGGGGATAGGGGCTCATCGCTCGTCGTAGCACCAGGAGCTAAGACATCCGAATATGATTGAGATGATTTCGAAGAGCTCGAGTTAGAAGTCTTCGAGTGCTTGGATGGAGACTGTTTATGCTTTTTCTTCTTCATGAGCAAAAGTGGCCCTGCGTAGGAATCGTTGAAGAGGCGCCGGCGCAGGAGCCTCCGGCAAGCAGCGGCAGACGGCAGACGGCAGTTTCGCACAAGATATCGCACTTTTTATTTTAGGGATTTTGACTTTTTTTCTTTAACCTTGCGACCCCACTAAATTTTTAGAATAGGTTGGTTAACACCTAAAGATTTATTTTACTAAAATCAATGCAACTTCTAAGCAGTTTTAGTATCTATATTTAAGTTCATCAATTTGCTATTATCAATATCTTTTCTAAGTACAAATTCAAGAGATATATTCCCCTCGTTTAAAAGATAGAAGATGACTCGATACCGGGCTTGCGGCATTAGCCATAATTGACATATCTACACATGGCGTTAGAGATATAACTTATAAGTAACAGCTTATTGTGTGGTTATTCTGAGAGTATGATCATAAACGCGCATAATCTAATGAGTACAGTGAATACAAAAATCCATTTTGTGATAAATTATGAGCATCTAATAAAAAAGAAGCAAAAGGTGTTACGTTGGTTATGTTTTGTTGTTTTCTAGAGACGAGAAAAGCTGGCACGTTTTTGTTGTTTTTGCCCAAATTCTAACTATAAAAATACCCCCACAGGCACAAGCCGTTCACCAATCTGCACCATACGCGTCTCTCTCAATCTCATCTTCCTATCTCACGAAAGCGCTAACGGCCAAGTCATATTATTTTCAGAAGAGATCACTGATATTCAAATTATATGGGCCTACCCGCTATATTGTTAATGTACTGTTCACTCATTTGTTGTCTTCTGAGCATTGTAAATTTGGGAAGATTATGTGATGGTCCAGCTAACCCTAACCTGTAATTGACGCATTCACCCTTCATTTTTGTATATAATTACGTATTTATACCGTATATATCTTGTAATCACTGATAAATAA